ACATCTTACGCATGGCATCTACAAATAATAACAATAATAATAACAATAATAATAACAACATAAGTACATGTACATGCATTTAAATATAATATAGCCTATAGCTTTGGGTATTTTTCAGATTATGGGTGTTTTCTTTAAAATGATCGTAACTTGAAAAATTGAAGTCAGAATCACCTCAAATTAATATCTATCAGAAAATGTAATAAAAATTTGGGGTCATTTTGGAGCCATTTTTTTAGAAAAAAAGATAGCTTTGGGTATTTTTGGGAATGGCCGTCCCTTTTAACTGAGACCATGTACTATAGTACAGTGACTTTTAGTTGACTTTTGAGTACTTTAGCTTACCAAATTGTTTGTCAATATTATTAATTCTATCAGTGGCTTCTCTTTGAATCCTAGTGTCCATCTTCTTCAGTCCGTCTTGTACCGTCTGAACTCGTGCAGCCAAATCTCCAGCTACTTTCACAGCTGCAGAAGTATCTTTTAATTCCTTATCCATTTTTGTTATCTTTTCTTCCAATTGTTTTATCTTATTATTGATATTATTCTCCAGCTGCTTCAGGTCAGCTTTAAACTTCTTCTCATTCTCAAAAGTGACTTGCTTTTTTGATTCGTCTATCCTTACATTTAAATCTTTAACTACCTCCTGCTTAGCTTCGACTAGTTCTCTTTTGGACTCTTCCTTCTCTTCTTCCATTCTTTTATGTACATTCTCTAAACCTTCCTTTCCATCTTTCTTAACAGCTGCAATTTGATTTTCGTTACGCTTCATGTTTTGCTCCATTTCGTCTACTCTTTCTGTCATTTCTTTATGACTCTCTATAAATCTGTTATCACTGTCTCCATTTTTTTCCCGATTTGCAGCAATTTCTTTCCCTAATTCTTTTGCATTATCAGCAATTTTTGTCTCCAATTCTTTTATACCGTTGGCCATCTTTGTTTCCATTTTTTCCCTGTCCTCATCCATCTTCTCTTTCATTTCTTTAATGATTCGATCCTTTTCTTCAAGTGATTCTCTCTGACGGGTGATGTCCTTATGTTGTGCCTCACATTGTCTCTCAAGCGCTTCAACTTTTTTCAACAGGACAAGTTCCAGCGGTCGATGGTCACACTCATCCTGTTCATGAAACCTTATATCTTTACGTGCATATTTCCGGCCACAGTCCCATTTACATTCCTCAAGGACGTATTGACACTCCTTCTTTAGGTGTCGATCTTTAATATGACGTAGCTCACCAATCCATTGACAGCCCTCCTCCCTTTGAGTGCAGTGCACTTTGAGTGACAATATCTTCCTCAAGTGGTCTTTGTCTATTAACATTTTAAACTCTTCTACCCTGCATATAGGACAGGGCCTTCCAGCATGTTTTTCTCTGTCAATACAGGATAAACAGAATTTAGCTCCACAGCAATCGATTATCTGTGGCTGTCGACAAGGCAGGAAACAGATTGGACACGTTAGGTCCTTTGGAGGCTCCTCAACGTATGTATAATCGTATCCTCCAGCCTCAGGTAGCGACTGACAAGCGGCTTCATCATCACCACCTTCCGCCATTTTGTTGTAGGAGTGGCTAAAACTCACGTGATCAGTCGTAGATATTAGAGTTAAAAGGAAACATTGACATTTCCTTTTAACTCTAATATCTATGATCAGTCATAGGATCAATCTATGGATCAATATCTATGGATCAGGTAATAGATACTCTACTACTATCCATGGGATCAGTGATTATTTTTAACCACGCCTACT